AGGATCGTTCAGTCTAGTAGTAAGGTAGTTAAGAGCAGAATGTCGTCGTGTGAGGTGTTAAGTCAAAAGGTAGGAAAAGGGGGATAGGGATGAGGCGGGTATATATGTGAGGACGAACGATGGGCAGTACCATAGTAACTGACCAAAGGTCCTCCTAAAACGGGGGTGGGAGGGGGGGGGGTATGAAGGCAGAGAATCGAGAACTGGGATCAGAGAAACAGAAAGAGGTCGACGTTTGAACGTAGCGAAGATTAGCCGCCAGCGTCTCGGATGCACACGTGATCAGCTTTGGGGGTTCGAGCTGTTGGTGCGCAGGCTATTACTGGTGGTTTGACGGTGGATGCAAGGCACATATGTCGATCGATGACTTGTTGAAGAGTTGTTTTATTGATCCACTATGGGGCAGGTCTGCCTTATCGCATAGCTTACATAATCAGGTGCTAGGCCAATTCCAACACGAGCCCACGTAAAACAGCGACCAAACCCGCCGAAAACAGCAGGTCCAACTCCACAACCCCGCCTCAGTCGCGAAGGTTCTTGATCATGCTAATTATTATTATTATTATTATTCCTTTTAACGTCCTGTGTAAGTCGAAGACTATAGTAGGACGGCTGGGGCAATAAGCCCCGGCGTTTCTATATAAAGTACGGGAAAGGTAGCCAATTTGTTCCAGGGGACATTGAGGGCATAGCCCTAGTTATAACAAAGGAAAATTATCGAAGAACGTGTAGAAGGTATCACGATTATTCCTCCTCTTACTCCTCCTCCTCCTCTTACTCCTCCTCCTGCTCCTGCTCCTCCTCCTGCCTTCTCTCTAAGTACCATTTCCTGGTACAAAGTCTAGTCTTTTTGAGAAAATCTAGCGTCTTCTCGATCCCAATTTTTGTATGCATTAAGAGAGGTAGACTAAGTCTCGCTCCCTTCATTTCGTCCCGTAGCTTGGTCCTCGCCTTGGCTATTCCTGTCTCTTTGCAGCTCAAAAGTAGATGGGTGGTTGTCTCTCTCCTCCCACACCTACACAAGTCACTATCCGTATGGCCTAGTCTATATAGGTATGACCTTATAAACCCATGGCCTAGCTTCAGTTGGAAGAAGGAGCTAGCTAGCTCTCTTATAGCTAATGAATGGCTATCAAACAACCTCTAGCGAACTCTTATTGGGATGCTACTGCAAATTCTTTCTACTTCCTAACACCTTATCCCTATCGCTTACTATCCTTTTTACTTAGCCGATCTTATGATGCTACTGGAAATGCGTATCAGGCTTGATACTATCTATCTCTAAACTATTATTATCGAGCGTTTTTAATATAACATGTATCGTCTCCGTGACTTTAGGCGGGGGGCTGGAGTCCTCTTTCTGAAAACATGCGTGCCGCATTTCGTACAAAAAGACCTCGCTACTTTTCCGAGCTTTGGTAATTACTTATTGCGCTAGAGAGCGTGGCCATTTGTTCGATCAGGTCAGTGGTTGTGAACGTTTATTACTGGGGGAGATGCCAAAACACTCAGATCTCGTAGAAGACAGGGCGGATTATTTGCTGGACAAGCGAAAAGAGGACGAGGCAGACCCAAAAGAAGCACAAAGGCTTAATATGCTTTAGGTTAAGAGTGATAAGCTGTACGAATACCGAGCTCAAAATAGACTTACGAGCCCAGATGTGTAGGTTTTGCAACAGGTGATGTTTATTGAAGATGGATAGGATGAAGACGTTTTTGTTTATTAAGTGGCATGCGAGTATCTAGTAAAAGAAATAAGCGATAAGCAGGCTCACGGCACGGGAGTGTGAAGAGCTGACCGAGTAAGAGATATCGAAGCGTGAGGCTTGTGCGATAGAACAATTGAGAGCAAGTGGGAGGGATTGAGTATGGAATTTCTTTAAAAAGCGTGACTTTGTATTGTAAAACAGCTTGACTTTGCTAGGAAAATATAACATAAGTTTTCACTTTAAGCTCCGGCTTTGTTTGTGTATCTTCTTATAGTTTCAAAAGCTTTTGGGTTAATGCTTATGATAAGAGCGATGCTAAGAATTATCTTTGAAGTAAGAGGCGACCCGAATAGCTGCTTAGGGCGGCCGCCTCTCTTTCTTGCAGCCAACTCTCTACCTTGTAGCTAACTCTCTACTTGATGCGTGGAGCTACTTTTGTACCACGGCGTCGATGTCGACTGTTCTTGTACTGCCTTATTTGTTTATAGATGTCACTGATCGCCATAGCGCCAACTCGCAATTCCGGAGTATCCGTCTCAGCGACGGCTTCAATCCCCCTCGTCTACCGCCTCATACTCACAACAATCGAACTTTTACTCGCCGTACTAGGCGCACTCCTCGCATTCCGTAACCCAAGCGAATACATTTCGACGATGACGCGCAACTCCGCGTCTTTCGCTGCAAGTACCGCCTTCTTGTACACCGAGCTCGGCGGAGCGTGGCTATACTTTACGTTTAACGAAGCAATCGTGCTCCGTCTATTTGATGACTTGCGCTTTTGGCGAATTTTATGTATGGGAATGCTGCTTAGCGATACGGCTTATTGCCATAGTGTTACGCAGGCTGTTGGAGGATGGGGTGCTTGGTCTACGATGGGAAGCTAAGCGACGGAGGATTGGGTTGTGTTTTGGACTACGGCGCCTATGGTTTTTGTGAGGATTTTGATTGTCTTTGGGGTTGGCGTGAAGCGTTAGTAAAATGAGAATCTGGGGTAAGAGATAAGCTAGATTGAACAGCTGTACTAGCTTTAGAACAAACACGTAAATTCAACACCAGTCTAGCGCTGTCGCCACTCCTTAAAAGAACCAATACGATTTAACGAGCAGACATGTGCAATATCGGGAGAATAATATCGTTTGCAGCCCTCGACTCCTCGTATGAGTGATAACTGGACCTTTGTCGGTTTAGTCCAACAAAGCTATCCAACAACACAGTCGCAATACCATCACCCTTGTCCCGTCTGCTATTTTATATAACCTAAAGAACTTGACTTACTCTATACCCCCAATTTACAAAACCACACCACGACAAAAACACCTCATTTGTCGGACAATCACCTCACCAGTCAAACCACATCTAAAAAGCAGTAACTGGAGTTTATTACAATATACAACCTATTTACATCTAGACTCTTTTCAAAAATTGCATAATAACCCCTTATTCCTGGTGGTGGGTTCCGAGAACTGTCCTTTCCTAGCCAGCCGAAATCCGCTCGAAATAACACGCCAGAGGGATCCAATTTTCTTCCCATCGCCCTCCACCTCTTAATTTCCAATCTCCCTCAGCACCTGTATCAACTCCTCCGCCGGCACATAATCCGATGTCGTCTCCATCCTATGTATCCACACACATTTCCCTGCCCTAAAAATCCACTCTCTGCTATTCTAACTATAGTCTCCGCCTTTGAACGCCCCAAATCCGCTTCAGATCATTTGTCGCACACTACTTATGATCAGACTGAACAGCGAGTGTTTTATGTAAGTTGGTTTCGAAGAACTAGCTAAAGATCTTTTCATACAAAGCTTTTCGTATAAGCGACAAGTAGGGTCTGTGAATATTAAGAACTCGTAGGACGTTTCGGTAGTATAAAAGAGGATGCGGGATGGGTCGCCGTAGCCGATAACAAGAAGTCGGGCCGGGCCGGAAGGTAGAGTAGAGAGGGTAGCTGGGGTAATATGTGGCGGCAGGGAGCGGATATAATTTTGATCGCAGGAGTAGAAGAAATGGCGGACTCAAATACAGACGGATTAGTTGCCGTTTCGAAAACAGGTGAGCAGATTGAGGAAAAAAGACTGTACCAAAAATCGCGATAACCGTGACGACACTATCCTTCGAAACTAGTTTACCAAATGGAGTGGATTTACCGTCATAAGAATATACGAGAAAAGCATAACTCTCAAAGAGAGTCTTTTCGTCGAGAATAAAATGCGAAAACTTGAGAAGAGATGGCCGAGACATTGTAAGCAAGTACAAAGTTGATGACTAAAGGCAGACAGTATTGTATGTTGGCGGCAGCACGAGATATTTGACTGACTTTTCATAACGTCAAGTGTAGGAAGTTTGCACGTCTTAGCGTTTTACAGCCACGTGACTTTATGAGGTCGTAAACGTGATCTAGTACTATTTTTCTCAAACGAGTGCCCCGGCGTCGGGCTATGCGCTCCGCTTCGGATATATTGGAATTTTGTAGCTTAAGAAAGGGCATTTTGTAAAGTCGTGATTCTGAAAGGAAGTGCGCACGTTCGGATGTAACGTCTATCTTTGCGTAGCGGAAAACAGTTGGAGATTGGAAGAAGATGTGACCCCTGCCTCGAGGACAATCGTGGCCCCGTGCCCAGTCGTCCCCATACAGCCAGGGGACTTTCTTGGGGTCATGTCGGGCCAATTACGGTATACGTCAGAAGCCGGCCGCCCTGACGAAGCCATCCAAGGGCCCGATCCTAATCTGTGGTTGGACTTCTCCAAGATCACTGGTAAGCTTAGCTGTACAGTAGCCTAGCTCCTTTCAATCTAAGCATGCTACTATCACATCGATCTTTCGCCTTCCATTTGAAGGGCTTTCAAAGGGTATGAGGCATATGTAAATAGCATTGTTGCGCTCTGTTTGACCCGGCGTTGTGTCCTTCATTTCTTTCCTGACACCAGCCAAGAGAACAGCTACTTCAGCTCGAGCACTTTTCGCCTTTTAAACTCATAAAACGGTTAGATCTGGTGTTCAAGTCACCCCACGATAATAATAAGTCATTGTCAACCTTATGGCGGCCAGGGCGTGCTGTGACACACGACGTCGCCACCTGGATTGGTGCCTCCCCAAACAAGCGACCAAGGATTCCTACTCAAGTTTACTGTATTCCATAATAATCACGGTAAAATGTAAGTTACATTTCCTTTACCAACCAGCTTCCACGTAAAGATCCTCTCTTGGCCATTTCTGGTTTTGGGTTAATTTTACACGCCCTTGATCCTAAAAGGATATCTATGTGCCAGAACGGGATCTCAATGAACCAACTTGGCTCTTTCCTCCATCCACTTTCTCCGCACATGACATGACATACCACAGGCTAGGTTTCGCGTGACTAGTGACTTTCATCGCCCAACTGCACCGTACCAGCAAAGCCCTAACACGGCGCCTATCACAATGGCAACGGCTGGTGGAACATTAAACCAAGCACTCTCCGCGTACGTGACTGCAGCAACAACGACCCACCATGGCTCCGCTGCCAAACTCCGCCCGCGACTGTCTTCAGGTACGAGATAACCAATCTCCCATAGTCTGTAAACCGCCGTGAATACCAACCCCACTGCTGTCGCATTCACCCCTCGTAGCAGGTCTACTACCCACTTCTTCGTCCGTAGCACCCGCCAGAAGCTCTGCACAGCAACCGCTAGTGTGATTCCAGGGAGGAAAATACCGAGGAAGCCTAGGAACGCACCAAAGACAGTTGGGAACTGGGATCGTTGCAATGTAAGTGCGCTCAGGTAGACAGCAAAGTTGAAGTTGGGACCAGGGAAGGCCTGGATGATAGCGAGGCCTAGGAGAAAGTCGCGGCTAGAGACCCAACCGGGATCGACAACATATGAACGGAGAAGGGGAATAACCACTGGGCCGCCGCCGAAGATGATTGTACCAGCTAGGTACATGTTGGCGAAGAGATCGAGAACGAGCGGGGGGGCATTGATACTGCCTCGAGCTACAAGAATGGCGGTAAAGGAAGCTGTGAATCCAGGTTAGCAAGGTCAACAATGTGAAGAGCGGATGGGATATAGATACTAAAAAATATAATTGTAATCGCGATTCCAACCTTGATGCGGATCATATGGTCTGCGGTATCATTTGTCGCAGCTTGCTCTGTCTGTAACCGCGAGTTGTCCGCAGCAGGCAGTTGTACAGCTGATACTGAATTGCTTGACTTGATCGAGCTCGCAGCAGCATTCCTTCTATGCACCCTATTTTGGCTCTCTATTCTGTCATCAAGTTGTACACTATCAGTGGCACCAGCCTCCTCTGCCGTGCTTTCTGGGCCGTTCTTTTTTCGTTTCAGCATCGCCCTCACCTTGCCAATCCTCTGGCTCATCCAGCCATCCCAGATGACGCTAGTGAGACCGCCGATGAGCATGAGCACCGGGAAGAACCACAATGCATTGTAACACAGACCCGCGCATGCTCCAAGAAGTACCAGGATACGGGTAAGCTTGTCTCTGATTGCTTTCTCGGCAAGCTGCACAGCGGCTAGCGCGATGATGCCGACGGTTGAGGCGTTCAGTCCAGAAAGAAGGGCATAAACCGGCAAGGGAAGAATCTCATTCATACGCTGGACACCAAGAGAAAGAGCATACATGCCGATTGCCCCAGGAAGACTGTAGAAATACACGTGAGCTTCCTCATTGGCATGGATAATGCAAGTGCTAAAGAGGAAATTCGCACAACGTACCTCCAGGTCAAGAAAACAAATAGGGCTGGAATGAACCCTGCATGTAGCAATGTAAGGCAGAAGATCATTTTCGTGCTCCCAGGTCCAGGGAGACCTTGGCATATTGCAAACAGCTCCTGATACTAATATTCAGTCGTCAGCCTAGGCTCTCACTCAAAAATGATCTCTGTCGCGCTCCGTCCCAACTACAGAGAATTTGTGCGTAGAGATACATCACTGCTCAGTAGAACCCCCAGCACAAGGGAAATGTGTAACGCACGGTCTCCTCATCTACCCACTTCTGCTTTCCACCTTTACCATCCACAAACCTTTGATGTAAGATCTGGAAATGCACTGGCGGGCCGCCAAACGCTGTAAAGCCGAGATCCCATGTGCGAAGGAAGACGTCAGCTAGTCGATTAGGAAGAGAATTGTGGTTTCCCTGAAGCGGGGCCGAACCACTGGAAGACTGGCGGGCAAGATCACGGAGACGGGAGAGGTGGCGAGACAGCTGGCGTAGAATGCTGACTGCGAAGGACATTGTTGTGTGGTGAATGATATCAAAGGTGGGTTCAGACGGGGAGAAGCTCACGTCGGGGGAATGCAGCGGTTTATGTTCGTTCTCACGATATCGAAGCTAGTTCGTACCGTCCCGTGCTCATGCGCAAATGAAGATGCAGGCTTCTCACGCGTGCTGCGCCAAGACAAGAGTATGACGTGCAAAGTAGCATCGATCACGAATTCTCTCCATCGCATCTTGCTTTTTTGTGTCGAATATCATCGACGTTAAAAACTCATCGTTCCGACTCTACAAAAATATTACCATGGCATCCCAAATCCATCTCATCCGCCACGCCGAATCTGTCCACAATGTCTCAAGAGACTTCTCCCAGCTCGACCCTTCCCTGACCTCGCTCGGCTTTGAACAAGCTGCAAAACTCGATCAGTCATTCCCTTACGCCGGACGCGTTGGCGTAATCATCACCTCCCCGCTCCGACGCGCTCTCTAGACTACTCTCACTGCATTTCCCAGCATCCTTGACAAACGGTACTTCGATCCAAGTTCTGGATACGGTGTCGAGAATGGAGCAAGCCTTGTAATTGACCCACTCTTGCAAGAGCGGAGTGCACTCGCCTGCGACACTGGTTCCGACCGAGCGATATTGGAAAAGGCTTTCCCGAGGCTAAATTTCGAAGGCTTGGGCAAGGGTTGGCCATCGAAGGACGGTATATTCGCTGCAGACGACGAAGTAGTGCACGAGCGGGCTTAGAGAGTGCGGAGAGGCCTGGTGGAACTAAGTGAGCAATTAAACAATAGGGAGAAGAGGGACATTGTTATTGTGACGCATGGCGTGTTTATAAAGTTCTTGATAGAAGAACCGGAGATTGATTTGCCAAAGGCTGGTTGGAAGAACTACACTGTTGAAATGGATAAGGAGCAGGAAGTTAAGCTTGTCCTAGTAGGTGCGAAGATATAAGTTAATACTTCTTACCAGTTCTCGCGGATCAAGAGCTGGGTCGCAATTATGGTGACACTTAGCGTGGATAACTAACGATTGCCCTTCTTCCTCCCACGGCACAGCTTCGTTTCGTCTTCCTGCGGCTCTTTCCCACACCAGTTCTACCTTCGTTTCTTGGAATAAGTAAAGCAAAGGGTCAAGGACTTAGAAGAGGGTTTTTGCAGCTTACTTTAATGAGATCTCTTACTGACACGAGCTACCTATTGGTTTGGGCTTTAACACCGTTAATAGAATCGAGTTTTACCAACTGTTGTAGTTGGGTGTGCTGACTTCTCGGGGAGTATTGATAGAGTTGGTCGTATTTGAGGGCGGTGCAGCATCGTGTCGGGCTGGTTTGATTTCTCGGATAGAACTTTCTCTTTCTGCCCCTATTTTATTCGTACACGAGGAGTTCTGGAGAATTCAGAGGGTTCCTTTCGCGTTGAATTGTAAACATAGGAAGATGAGTGATTTATTGAGTAGTCAATCCGAGGGAACGTATAGGTACGTAAGTTCACAGTGCTTGTTGTGTCTGTCCTGGCTTTGGTCGATTCGCTGGTAAGAAGCCGGTCCTTTCCTGGCTCTATTTTTTTGTGTTTTCATATTTCAAGTCAACATATTGAACACTAACAGATATGCGGTGGTTCCATATGGGGTTTTTTTTTATATATATTTATTTCAATTGAAGACTGCTGAGTGCATCTCTTAGTTGGTTTCTTGTAACTTTGCACTTGCTGATAGCTTACCCTGTGTTCAGCCACCTTACCGATCAAGAGCCCCGGTAGCATTTCCATCCAGCCTTCGGAATCGCCTGACCCAAATGGCTGTAAGGCAGTGTAGCTGACAGACCTTTGGATTACTGCGTATGGTAGCGCTTCAACTTCAACTTCTCGGCACCCAAATATATTTCTCCGTCAACAAGATGTGATCATCGACCCTTCGCTCGAGCAGCCCACAGCGACGGTTGATCTTGAACAGGCGGACGCCGTCCACTCTCCCCCAAATGACAGGGAGATGTTTGCTCTCTATACTACCCTCGAGGACAGTAGTTCCGAGGATTCGGGGTGCTATTCCCTAACTAGTGGAACTAATAGTTAAAGCTCAGGCTCTCTTCGCCTCCCAGGAAATGATGCTGAAGGTCTGGTGTTGTATTCACATGCCTAATTGCACATAATACTCTATTTAACGACCAGACGGCAAACTGGCTACTGTTTTCGGCAGGTTTGGTCGCTGCTTTCCGCAGCCGACTTGCTAAAATCTCGCGCTGCCCTAGCGCTCGCGTACCCTATGGCTAAGGCGGCACGGCGGTGGGGACCCCTAACCGACCTACTGCAGGAATATTAAAAAAAGCGAGTAGGTCAAGTTATTATTTAGAAAACTGCTTCTCTTATCCTCGTTTAACACTTTTTAAGGAGGGGAGTAGAAAACGACTGCCTTTTATCTTCTCGTGACTTAGGATGGCAGTTCTTATATTTATTCGTTTTCCTTCCCTCCTTCCTTCTTTTTTTTATCTTCTTTTCCTTCAAACCTTTTAACTATCGCTTTCCCTCGCTCCCCCGCTCCCCTCCCCCTCCGCTGCTATTATTTGGTTAGCAGGCTCTTCTTTCACATTTTTGGCTTTAATTCTTTGCTTTTAATTGTTATCGCCGTTGTCTCTTTTGTTTGATCCAGTCGTTATGCGTCGTCGCTAACAACTAATACTAAGCCCTCCCTCTTTCTTTGATAGCGATAGATTAGACATCGAGAGCTGCTTTGATATAAAGGATGAGTAAGAGGAGACTGACGTCGATACCGAGCCGACGGACGTTGATACTAATGTCGACGGAGACGACGAGGCAGACTTATTAGATCTGGAGTGACTCGCTTGTAAGGAGGATTATGTTGGTATCGTACTAATGGACGTTGATACCGATGTTGATAAAGATGATGAGGCAGATCTGGCGTGGATTACTAGAGAGGAGAACACCTACTTGCTAAAGTATTACCTTAACTAAGAGAACAACTCTAACGAATCGGAGGATGAAGATGAGGACTATAGCGATAGTAGTCTCCTCTTCCTCGATATGATCGAGGGACAGTTCTATTGGTGTGTACCTTATTCCCTATTTGTATGCCGTCTTTTTGTAACGGTCCGGTATTTACTCGCTGTAAATACAGAAGGCTGCAGTTGATCTCTGATGATCGAGAGGTAGGTGTATCACGTAGACAGAAGACAGTTACTAAGTATCAGAATACTATTTAAAGTTAAGTATAAAGCTTTTATCTAATAGCAGACGTGCTAGTCTTATATAAAACCTTCGTTTGCCTTAGATCCTTTAAGATACTAGATCCTTAGATCTTTAGATCTGTTTTCTTATAAAGGGATTTAGGGATCTAAGGATCTATCACGTGACCTATCGTCTACTATGATCTAAGTAACTATTACTACTAAAGCGTGAGTATATAGTAGTACTACTCGCTTGTCCTGTATTATTCCCTGGCTAGTACTACCTTATTAATAATATCACTCCCTTATTAGTACTAATGCCCTTATAGTACTACTAATAGTTTTATTATCATATAAGTGCTAACTGAACTGTAGCGTTAAGGGGTCTGTAATACTATCCCTCTCTTAGCTTAACATGGTCCTTACACTTAAGTATGACCTTAAGAAACGTTAATAGTTACTAACGACTATCTTCTTTATCTATTATATCTAGTGTTGTAAAGAAATCAAGTGTCGCCTAGACAAAGAAAAAACAAAGTATCTAGCTTGCGCTTTGTATTAAGCGTGTTACGTAACTCGTAAAGCCTTGTTCTTTTTACTGCAGCCTTTCCTGTACTTGCTTTTTAGATTTGTCTATTTTAAAACGATGCTTTAAGTGTGTTTACTTAAAGCGTTACGATTATAATACCTCAGGGTATGTTAAGAGGTTCACTTTTAAACGACTTATGTGTCAGTCTAAGGTAGGAAAAACCGTGACCCCTACTCGCCTTTTAACGCCTCTCTTTAAGCTTATCAAGGATAATCTTACTTCTTGGTTCCTCGCCTTTAAACCTAACGCTTACCTAGCGTCTTTCTTTAAGAGCCTGGCCCCTAACCTTAGGTCCCCTTTCTTTTAGGTAAACCTGGATTTCTTTAATAGAATCCTTGCAAAAGCCTAAAGTAGCGGAGGTTAGATTTAAGTTCCTAAGTGTTTTTTAATTGTGAGTACTCTTTTTATTTGATCAGATATTTTAGTTTGCTATAGAAATACTGATAGTCAAGAACAGCCTTTACCTTGTATTTAGCGTTCAGATTAATCAGTTGTATTTCAGTAACAAGAGTTAGTAATGCTTCTGGTAATACTAGTTTAAGGAGAGATATATAGAATACTAAGTAGATATTCATTGTCTTTAGTAGAGCTAGTTAATAATTAACTAGTCTCTTAACTTTAGCAATCCTAAATAGTCCTAGCTTCTTGTGATCTAATTTATAACTTAGTCGCTTAATTGTGATATTCCTTTTAAGTAAGTAGACTTTATCCCTCTCCTTAAGCGTTAATCTTATGTTACGCTTTTTATTATAGTAGATCACAGATCTCTACATAATAAAGAAAATATCAGCTGATAATTCTTTATAGAGCTACTTAAGCCCATCTGCTTATAGTATAGCCTCTTATGCAGTTCCCTGACTGTTACGAACGCACTCAGAAGGAGTATCACGTGTGTCTTGGCCCTGAGGCTCGGCAGCATTGCTGCACAGAGAAGCCAAGAACTAGGAACAAAATCACGGGACCATGTGTCACGTGATGGCATGGAGCTTTTGGAACCATAGGATCCAAGGTTCCTGGAGCCTGGGATCATAGGACCCATAGGGATCCAAGGCGAACGAAGGTTCTATATAAGACTGGCACGTCTGCCATTAGATAGGAGCTTCGTGCTCAACTTCAAATAGTATTCTGATACTTAGTAACTGTCTTCCCGTCTACGTGATACACCTACCTCTCGATCATCAGAGATCAACTGCAGCCTTCTGTATTTACAGCGAGTAAATACCGGACCGTTACACTGACTAGTTATTAGTAGATTATATACTATGAGATTATACCTATAATTCGCGTAAAACGGCGATACTTTAATAGTCTCTTAATCTATACTGTTATATATAAACTAGGCAAGTAAGAGTAGTTACACTTAGTTGTCTTGTTTATAGTTTACATAACACTAAAGATAAGTCTCTATTATCTAGTTGATTCGTTCTATCTATATATTAGTCTAAAGATAAAATGTAGTTGATATTTTCTGTTTTATTCTTAAGAGCGTGATAAGAGTTTTCTAGAACTTTAAGGTAAAAAGCTTATCTTTATCTAAGATGATCTTATTTAATATTTTGTAGCTTGTAAAGATTATTTTAAGGAATACCTGCGTTATTATAGGCGCGTTTTGTGTCTTAAGTACTAGTATTATATACGCGTACTTTATGAACTTATCTGTTATTACACAGATTGAGTTGTATATGATTCTTATGATTGGGTCTTTTAAGAGTAGTAGTTTAACTATAAAATCTAAAGCGATTGATTTTCATAAGCGAGGTAGTGTTGTTAGTGACTTTATAAGTCTATATAAAGTATAGTATGTAGCTTTGTTTTAGATATATATGTCGCACGATATTACTATATCTTTGACTACCTTTTTTATACCTAGAAAGTAGTATTTCTTAAATAGCCTAGACAGTGTCTTAACTACCCTTTAGTGTTTATAAGCGGGCAGCTTATACTAGTACGTGACAAATTTAATCCTATCCTTAGTAAGTATATAGATTTGTCCTTAAAACAAGAGAGTTCCTTTTAAAGAAAAGGAGAACCCTTCGCTTAGTTAGCGTTACTATTCAGTTACAACTAAGTTATTAACGTAGTCTTTTTAGATTTTCTCTACAACTAGCTGTCTTATCACGGCTAGCTGTTAACTATTAATAACTAATAAATCGCCATCTTTTCACAGTATAATATAAGATTCGTGGGTTTTGTTTATAAGATACTTTAGTTTCTAGCTTAAAGCGTCAGCTCGAGCATTTTCTATTCTTTTAACATAAGAAATTTAAAGCTTAATAGTAAAGAGTGTTTTGTATTAATAAACCTGCTATTAGTTTAGTTCCTTAATAGTCGTAAAGTAAATGAGATTCTTGTGGTTTATTAAGATTTATACCTTATAAGCGGCATCTTTAAAGTAGACCTTTTATTCGCGTACTATATCTACAATTACTAACAACTCTTTGTCATATATGTTATAGTTAAGTTTTACTAGTGATAGTTTCTACAAATAGTAAGTAACTAGTTGCTATCTTCTATCTTTACCTAGCTAGCTAAACACAGCTCTAATAGTGTAGTCTAAAAAGTCTATCTTTATGTGTATTTCTTTATCAAGGGTAAAGAAAGTAAGTACTAGTTCCGTAATAAAAGCTACTTTAAATGCCTTAAACACTTTTTATACACTGTCAGACTAGTGGAATTTCTTGTCTTTATAAGTTAACTCTATAAGTAGCCCGGCGATTTTTAAGTAGTCTTTAATAAACCGCCTATAAAAGTTAATAAACTTAAGAAATAATTATACTTTCTTAACATTTATAAGCCCTATCCACTTAATAATTACTTTAATCTTTTTAAGATCTATAGCCAATCTTACAGTAGTGACTACATAGCTTAAAAAGATAACCTCGTCCACGTAGAAGTTACACTTTTTTAGTTTAAGTAATAAGTAGGCGTCTTTTAGCTTTTAAAGGATAGCTATAACGTCTTTTACATATTACTTTTTTAATTTAAAGTAGACTAGTATATCGTTTAAATAATATATACACGTTACGTCTAAGTAAGGCCGCAAAACATTGTTAATTAAACGCTAAAATATGACTAGTGCGTTAGTCAAGCTAAAGAGTATGACCGTGTACTTGTAGTAACTAAAACAAGTGTGAAATACTGTTTTTTCTTCTTTACCCTTAGCTATCCTAATAAAGTTGTACGCTTCTTATAAGTTAAACTAAGTGAAAATCTTAGCTTTAACGAGTCTGTCTTACAGCTTTTTAGCTAATAGTAGTGTATAACGATCCTTTTTTGTGGCATCGTTTAATTAATAGTAGTTAATGTATATTTATTGTCCTTTGTCTTTCTTTTTTATAAATAAGACGTTACTCCTTTATAGAGACTTAGACTCTTAGATAAATCCCTTCGTTAAGTTTTCATTAATATATTGCTTAATCGTCATCAAGTCTGTCGTTGAATATTCTCTAAGTAGTTAGAATATCGGTTTAATACCTGGTTTTAACTTGATCTAATAATTATAGTCTTAGTGTTTTAGCAAGGCTTTGATGCCTTGTTTCTCTTTAAACAGTGTCGTAAACTTCTTGTATATTAATAGTATATCTTTTATCAGTAAACTTTTGTCTTAGTGTTTAAGCTCTTCTTTAAAAGTGGCGCTAACCTCTTAAATGCTTACTACTTCTGTTTTTAGTAGATAATAATAGTCTTGACATTAACTAAACTCAAGCTTCCTTATCTGTCAATTAACAACAAGGTTATGCTTTTTTATCTATAACAACCTTAAGATAATATCGTGCCTTTTAATCTTAACGACGTTAAATTAGATTATTTTAAAGTGTCCGGCAATGCTTATGTAAACTAGAGTAGTCTAGACTTTAATTAGTCTATTAAAGGCAACCTTGCTATTTGCCAGTATTAAATAGTATCTCTTATCTTTTACTTTAGTTGATAGGTAGTATTTAAGTATAACAGTAAGAGACATAAAGTTTCCTTATGTCTTAAAGTTTACTATTGCTTAAAGCTTGACTCTCTTGATTTTGACTTTTAATGTGAGATACTTATCTTTAATAACAGCAAGTTGCTGTACACAGAAGTACTCTTAGTATACGTTATAGTCAAGGACACTTTCTTATACCCTTTGATTGCTATAGCTTAAGCTTACTTTGTATATAAGCCTTATCTTAAGTTTAGTGTACGTTACTAGGTTATATATCTTGTAATAGTATCGACTATTATCATTAACGTAGACTTATATCTTATTATATTGGTTTTCTGCTATAATTTCTCATTTCTTGCCTACCTTTAGTAACGTATTAGTGTTAAGAATGGCAGTATTCTAGAGTAGCAAGTGTTATATAAAGGTTGTTAGTCCTTTTTAACTGCCGGCCATCTTTTATCTGATACGCTTATAGTCTTAGTAGACTACTTTATACTTTACCCCTTACAGTAGACCTTTTAAGCTAACAAGGCCTGGTTTTTAATAAGTAACCTTAGTAGTTACATTAGTCTAGTAGCGAGTATTACAGCTAACTTAATATAAGCTTTCTTCCCTTTAGGTAACTTCTCAAGTTTTACTCACTCTTAGTCTTAAGAGTTTAAGTTAAGGTAGCTTTAGTTTTAAAGTCTATTCTGGCTTTTAGGCTTTTTCTTCACTGTTACTTAACATTAGCTTTATGTCGTCATCTAGCTTAAAGTTATCGTTATCTTAATACATATAGTCCTTAAGAGGCGTACTAACGACGTCCTTCTTAAGCAGACTTATAACGCTTATAAAATCTCGCTTACTATCACTAAAGTCACTTAACTAAGTGTAGATGTGATTTTTCTCGAGCTTATCTATAATTATATATTAATATATTACGGCAAGTTGTTAGGTTAGTTTGTTATAAGAGTCACGTCTTATTACATTAACATGTTTCTTATCTGTTTACAACTTCTTTTATCGATAAGAGCTAGCTATATAACTGGGGAGGTTATATTTAAAGTATAGCTTCTTTTTGTGTCGTTTATTTATGACTTTCTTAAATAGCCTACTGTTATACGGCTTTCCTTAATAACTTAGCTTTTAAAACGTCACATCGAGTTTCATTTCTTAAAGATAGAATAGTTTCTTGTTATTACCTTCTCTTCTTTAGTGTATATGCGTTTTAAAGTAGTATTAGCCTTTTTTCTTAAGTGCCTTCTTGTAATTTTAGTTGTTAATCTTAACAGTTATCTTAATAAGTTCTTACAAGTTAGTAAGCGCGTCTGATCTTACTATCTTATCTTTTACTTTATCTTTTAACCTTTTGTAGTACTGTACTTAAAAGGCGTCGTCATTTTAGCTAGTCTAATTTGTGAATTACTAAAAAGCAGTAGTATACGTAATCACTAACCTGACTTGCTTTAAGTTCTAAATATTCTGTTTAATAGTACAGTTCTAATCAATATCGCTAAAGACACAGTTGATCTTATGCTTAAAACCTTTAAAAGTCATAAAGATCTTTTAAGATTCCTTAGTTATTACTATAAAGACTCTCTTATCTTTAGTTTAGTTCTAAATATAGTCTAAAAGAAAGGTCTTAATCTAGTTAAAGGCAAACCCTTAAAGAAAAGACAAAGCCTAAAGGACTTTGTCAGTCTTTATAACAAACTAGTGACTGTTAAAGCCTGTATAAAGCTTAACTTACATAAGATATACTTTAAGCTTAGATTAGTCTCTATTATAGAGATCTAAGGCAGCAATCTTAAGTATGTTCTTTAAGTCAAAGACTTTAGCAAAAGCTAAGTAATCGTTTGACGATCTTTTAATAAAAGACATATTATCTTTGTAAGTCAGTACCTCTGACAAAAAGGTGCTTAAAGTATAACAGTCCGGTATTTACTTACTATAAATACAGAAGGCTATAGTTAATCTCTAATAATCAAGAAGTAAGTGTATTATATAAACAAAAGACAGTTATTAAGTATTAGAATACTATTTAAAGTTAAGCACAAAGCTTTTATCTAATAGTAGATATACTAGTCTTATATAAAACCTTCGTTTGCCTTAGATCCCTTAAGATACTGAATCCTTAGATCCTTAGATCTGTTTTCTTATAAGGGGATCTAGGGATCTAGGGATCTATCACGTGACCTATTATCTATTATAATTTAGGTAACTATTATTACTAAAGCGTGAGTGTATAATAGTACTACTCGCTTGTCTTATATCATTCCCTAGCTAGTACTACCCTATCGATAGTACCGCTCCTTTGTTAGTACTAATGCCCCTATAGTACTACTGATGGTTTTATCATCATATAAGTGCTAACTGAACTGTAGCGCCAAGAGGTCCGTAACACTTTTACTATCAAATCGCTAATCTGACTTTTTAGGTATTGCAAATATGTACGAAAGGATCTTGCCCGGATGATGCAGGCTATCTCTCGCCGTACCCTTAAGGTCTTCTTCGAATAAATATTGAATTAACGTTAAGGGAAGGGTGGGAGGAGGCTTGCCGGTATCAAGTCTGCTAGTACGCTCGGGATATATTGGAAGGTCTTCCGGCTCGTGTACGAACGAGCGAATAAAAAGAAGATCGAGGGGAAAATAAATCGTCACATACATCGGGTAAGTAGCGTTTTTTGTTTACCCGTTTAATCTAGTTCGAATTATTATAGGTGAGAGCTAATAAAACATTTATCGCAGGTCTTTAGGAAGCTAGCGAAGAAGTACCGCTTGTCGACGAAGAAGCGCGATAATATCGCGATATATATCGAGGATCTCGCAGGCGTTTTACAAACCAACTTGATTACGACGAAGCAGAGGTACACACATGGCCGGCAGCGGATCCAAACTAGCCTCTTTTGCTAGCTAGCTATATTCTTCGCAAACCGACTTTTATCGCTCCTAAAGCTCCACTATAGTAACATCGCGATGAACCTGCTCCGGGACCCTAGTAGCGGGCCCTATCGGATCTTAATCGAGTTCACGTGCGAGTTTACGAAGAAATATCTCGGTATAAAAGATGCGTAAGTTTGACTTTAGGCCTTTTCTCGTCCCCCCGATCCCCTTTTCTTTTTTATTCTAGCTGAGACATGCGACTTATATAAAAGCTAGGAATACGTTTGTACTTCCTGAGATTATCTTTGATCCGTCCCTAATCCTCAGTCCGCACGTCGCTCTCTTGGGCCTTATTTTTGCTGATAATGCGTTCTTGGCCCCGAGTCTCACATCAGCCGAGAAGATCAGCAAGCTAGATATCCCGCTTAGTTATAAGCAGCTGCCCTTGCGTTTAAAGCCGAAGATGGCTAATATCCCCGTCCTCCGCAAGTTTATTAAGACGCCGTATAGCTGGGAGATCTCCCCCGACCAGCCACTACCGTACACGACTCTCTTGAAGTGGATGAAGCGGCTCGGCGTGCTCACCGGGTTCCCGCAAATCACGCGTCCGTACTGCCTCCGATACGGTGCAGGCAACGCCTTTAACTAGAGCGGTGCGTATTATGCGGCCCCCTTCTCGCAACCCCGCCCTTATCCGTAGTGTGATATGCTAATCGTAGACTGATAGGTGACGTGAGCGACGCGCTTTAAAACATGATGATGCAACACGCCAAGGTTGACACCTTCATCAAGCACTACCTCCGGCGGACGGTCACCGCTGACACGCGAGCTATCATCTTCGGCTACGAACCTCAGCGCGACCTGATGCGGGCGGCCTATTGGATGACTTGCTGGATCGATCCTGACCGGCCGCAAGAACTCACGCCCGAGGAATCCCTGTCTGTTAATAAGGATCCCATCGTCCGCCGCCTCGTTGCGGAGCGGGAGAAGTGGAAGCGCCGCTTCCAGGGCACGGCGACTCAGTAGCCCGGGTATCGGATTATCGGCCGCGCGATCTTTAACACTAGGCAGCGGCTGAGAGCTGCGCTCCTCAAGTACGTTCAAGAGCGCTGGGATCTGGATCACCCGGTCGACGAGATCGAGCGGCAGCTCTCTGGGCTCAAGCTCAGCCAAAACGTAAAAACCACCTTGGACCAAAACGATGAGATGCCCCTGCTTTAGAAGCGCTTGGCTAAAACGGTGATGACGCTCCCGGGTACGACTATCAAAGAAAAGTTCCGCCGCCGTAATGCGGCTATCGATGTAGTCGCTGCCTACCGCTACTTCTAGGAGGGGGGAGCTGTTACCCTACCACGTAAAAGGTCGTTTACGCAACGGACGAGTCTAATGCCGTCGAAGGAGACCAGCCCCTAGCTGGCAGCCGCCGAGGCTGAGAAGCAAGCGTTAAGTAACGCTATGTTATTGGTGTTTGCAAAAAAAAGAATCACCACCTGCTTTCTTTGCTTAGGAGAGCAGAGCTTACCGTTCGAAAAGCGTACTTATAAGTTTGCTAGTTCGGGAGACTTGACAAAGCATTTTAAGCGGAAGCATCTGGCTCACATTAAAAAAAAGGATCGGCTTAAGTGCAAAGTCTGTCAAATAGGGCTGCAACACAAGCAGTATTTTCAGAATCACGCAGAGAGTATCTACGGGACGGTTTTTTAACCTTTCGATGCTTTACGAAAAGCGTACAACTACTTAGCCGACTTTATTTTTGTCTTTTGTTTTTGTTTTTGTGCTCTTATATATTATATAGACATTTCTTTTCTACTAATTTCTAGAATGTATAAATTAAAAGGGGGTTCAATTGCATAAGTGAGATTAGATAAGATAAAAGACTTTTTTTCGTATCGCAAAAGGGTGATTTGCAAAAGCTATATTTTCATCCTAATCATCTTTTCCTAATCACCTCTCCTTAATCACTTTTTTATCCCTATGAATAGCTTTTATTCGAAAGTTGAAAGCTTCTCTTTTGGTTCTAATCTATATCTTTTGATAATCTGCCGCTTAGATAAGTATGCTAGCTTTAACGCGATATCTTGTACAACTTTCACCTCTCCTATATCTATGCTATTTGCACGGCTTAACAACTATTAATAACCTTTCCTCCTACGATCCTCGAGTCTAGTCGAATAATGCGTCTGCTATACTATAACGGCGGTAGCGATTTCAGCTTGGTCGACTTCTTTAAGAGTAATATACTCGAGTATACTATATTTTCGCATACATAGGAAGAAAATAAGGTTACTTTTGAGGATATGTAGAATGGAATCGGTATAAAAAAGGCTGGTTACAAGAAGATACGCTTTTGCGCAGAACAGGCTAAACGCGATAGCTTATAATACTTCTGGGTGGACACTTGCTATATTAATAAATCTAACAGCGCAGAGCTTGTAATAGCTATCAATTTTATGTTTTACTAGTACTATATATTAACTAAATGCTATGTCTATCTGTTAGATATCTTTAAAACTGCTAACGACATCAATAAAATAGCCTGCGAATCGGCATTTCAGAAATCCAAATAGTTTACTTAAGGCTAGATTATTTAAGAGCTTGTTACTCTGATATTTATTGATTTCTTTTACTAAGAATCCAATCGAATTAATAATAAGAGTTCTCTAGAGTAGCAAATTCACAAGATCACAGGTATTCTTAAATCGGCACTTTAAAGAGCTTATTTGTCGCAGTTTGATAATAAAGAGCGATTTTTATAGATTCAACCCCGCCAGACGATAGTTAAAGAAGACAAAGCTTACGCGTTGCTTGGTATTTTTAACGTCTAAATGCCTTTTTGTTATAGCAAAGGGATAGCGAACGTATTTAAACAGCTTAAAGAGGAAATCGATAAGTTTAACAAGTGCCTTTAAGACTTACGCTTTAACGATCCTCGCGATAATAAGATACATATTGAGAACACTAAAAGTAGCTTGCTAGAGGACTCGTATTACTAGGTCTTAAAGACCTCCGATTTCTAATAATAGCAGAACAACTCGCAAACTTAGCTACTGTAGATCAAAGGAGATCCCGGCAAAAGCAAAACAATATTACTCTACGGCATTATCAACAAGCTAAAAAAGTCTATACTAAAGTTGACTTTTTTATTATACTTCTTTTGTTAAGCGACTAACTCTCGGATTAATAATGCTACGGCCGTGCTTCGAGGTCTAATATATCTGCTTGTTAATAAACAGCCGTCTTTTATTTTACACGTACAGAAAAAGTATAATCAAGCCGGTAAAGCGCTCTTTAAGGATCTAAATAGCTGGGTTGTTTTATCCGAAATTTTTGCGAACATTTTATAAGACCCGAACTTAAAAAGTACGTACTTAGTTGTTAACGCGCTTGACGAATGTGAAGTGGATTTACCGAAATTGTTAGACCTTATCGTACAGACTTCGTCTATATCTCCTCGGACTAAGTGGATTGTTTTTAGTCGTAACTGGCCGAGTATCGAAAAAGGCTTCGACAGAGCGATATAAAAAGCAAGTATATGTTTTAAGCTAAACGAAAAGTCCGTTTTCACAGCCGTCACGACATATATCAAGTCTAAGGTAAATTGGTTAGCGGAGCGATAAGAATACGATATAAATACCCGAGACGCTATCCAGCGCTACTTGTTCTTAAATGCATATGGTATATTCTTTTGGGTTGCTTTGGTTTGTTAAGAACTTACTAGTATACTAGGATGGGAGGTTGAAGAAACGTTGTTAGCGTTTCCTCTTGGACTTGATACTTTTTATATGCGGATGATGGAGCAGATTAGTACTTCAAAGACAGCTAAGCGCTGCAAAAGTATACTGGCTGTCGCTTCGGTTATACATTGTCTTATTATATTAGATGAGCTGCCTTCTTTTGTCGACATGCTACTACGAACTTTTGGTAATTACAAGGCTCTCGCAGAGATTATAGGATATTGTGGCTTTTTTCTTACACTTTGAGATCGTACCGTTTTTTTTGTCTATTAGTTTGCTAAGGACTTCTTGACTAATACGGCTGTTGAAATTGTCTTTCCTTTTGGGATGGCCGGTACTTACTATGCTATTGTTACGGACGCTCCTGGGAGCCCGCTGGGTCCCAGGAGGAAATATCCTCAGAGCAGGCGTACTCCTGGGAGTCGGACGGCTCCTAGGAGTAAAGCTCACAGGAACCAATAAGGTCTAAGGAACATGTATCACATAGCATTACATTATAGTAGTATTGCAGGTCACGGTGATCTGGCAGCGGCCTTCCGCGGTCGGGTCACGTGACGGATCCCAGGGGATCCCAAGGGATCCAGTACGACTATGTCGTGAAGGATCCCAAGGGACCTGTGGGATCCAAGGAGAACGAAGGTTCTATATAAGACTGGCACGTCTGCCATTAGATAGGAGCTTCGTGCTCAACTTCAAATAGTATTCTGATACTTAGTAACTGTCTTCCCGTCTACGTGATACACCTACCTCTCGATCATCAGAGATCAACTGCAGCCTTCTGTATTTACAGCGAGTAAATACCGGACCGTTACACTTTGAGCACCTTCTCGTCAGAGGTACCGACTCACGAAGACAACATGTCCTCCGTCAAAGGATCGTCGAACGACCACTCGGCTCCCGCCAAGGTCTTCGACCCAAAGAACATACCCAAGATCGCCGCCCCGGATCTCTACAACGGAGACCGATCCAAGCTCAGAGCATACCTCACGCAGGTTAAGCTCTATACGGGCTTCAACGGTCACCAGTTCGCCACGGAGACTGACAAAGTCCTTTGGGCTTCGTCCTTCCTCCGGGGATCTGCCTTCAACTGGATCGAGACCTTCCTCTCGGACTACATTCAGAACCGAACCAAGGATGGGAGAGTCTCCACGGCAATGACCAAGGAATCCCAGAAGATCTTTATGACCTTCGAAGGTTTCGAGCATAGGATCAACCGCGTCTTCGGCGACATTGATCAGAACCGTACCGCCGAACGGAACATCCAGAACCTAAAGCAGGTCGGGTCAGCGACCACGTATACTGCCGCCTTCCAGCAATTCGCGAATCAGACCAGCTGGAATGACGACGCCCTTCGGGCACAGTACTACAAAGGGTTGAAAGACGGAGTGAAAGATGAGATAGCAAGATCGGACGCGCCTACCGACTTGCAAGAACTCATCGAAATGGCTGTCAAGATTGACAACCGAAACTACGAGAGGGCACTCGAGAAGAAAGGCCAATACCGCTCCGGAACGCACATGCACCAAGGAAGAGGGGGCAATAACAAGAAACCATTCTACCCTCGGGAAATGGAACTCGATGCGACGTTCCGGAAGCCAAGTCATCAAGGAAAGCCGCGCAACGGCGGGCTATCTAAGAAAGTCATGAGCGAGCGACGAGAAAAGAAGCTGTGCTTCGAGTGTGGCCTCCCTGGTCACATGGCCAGCTCTCATCGACAAAAGAAGTCGTGGACAGACAAGAAACATGCCAACGCAATGGGACGTGGCTCTTACAATGAACCAACACGACAACTCGCCGCGACGTATCGACACATGACTACAGACGAGCTCGAGGAGAATCACATCCACACCCAGTTGGGCGATTCTGACGACAGCGAGCGAGATTCCGCGAGCGTCGTGGATCAGCTCGAGCAAACCGTCGTCAGCACGCCCCCTGAGGACTATGTGTATCGAGACAACGACAGCTCTGGGCCAGACGATGACACAGAGTTAATGCCAAGTGACAGCGAGGAAGAAGCCCAGGAGCCAGAGTGGACTCCAGAACCAGGGCCACCTCAACCTGAACTCTCAGGACCAGGAGTGGGTGAAACTTGGGAAGTTACCCAAAGAGAAGAGAGCCTGTATCAGGTTAGCTGTAACACTCGCCACTGGACCAATGTAGCCACCGGGGTTACTTATCAAGAACCAGGCCTTGTCGGCTTGGGGGGTCCACCGTGGGGGGCAAGGTACGAAGTAGTCTACCGGGACTATAAGCGTATCGGATGGAGAATGGCCGGCAGCTGGGAAGGACCGA